AGTAAGAGAGTGTTTACTAGAACTGGGTAGTTTGTATTACCACAGTTTAGCGGTTGATGAGATTTCAATTTTAAAGCATTGCTTTCAAAAGTTACAAAAACCATGGCATATAGATGACAGACTGCTTTTGAATTTTAAAAATGTAAAAAAATAAAAAAACCTGTTTCAAATATTTGTCTTAAAACTTTTTTTACAAGCCATAATTTGCCATAATGATTACAAAATAGTGAAAATTGAGAAACATTGTCTAATTTCACTTGCTGATGAAATCCCTTTTTTAAAGTTCTGAATATCCAAATATTACAAGGTTTTTCCTATTCATGTTCACACTACCACTCACAGATTTCACCATAACCGCACTTAAGCCTCCTAAAACCAAGAAATAGACACAAAAAGTTAAAGCAGTAGGTTCCTATGAGATTGTAAGATGTTATGCAGAGGATTCATTCTTTTCTCCAAGATTTCAGGGAGAAACATTGAAAGCACATATCTGGAATCCTTTAACACAGGCAACTAGAAATAGATGCACAACTGAAAACCACCTTTTCTTTAGAGCTGCTGAGAAGTCTGCAGGAGGGCTGTTGGGGCATTTGGAACCCTTTGGAACCACGTATCATACAACAGTAAAAAAACCTGTAATCCCACTTGTTCTAAGAGTTCCCTTATTTTCACCCTGTTGATCGTCCTGGGATAATTTATTATAACTACTAAGCCTGACCATAGATTAACTGAATATGCCACACCATTACTAGTAACTTAACCTACATGATCAGTGGGTAGAATCACAAGAATTTTTTTTTGTTTTGTTTTTTTACAGTAAAAATACTGTGCACGGCACCCTTAAAAGCATACACTCTGTATTTCACTGTTTCAGCTTGGACTGTGATTCTAGTATGTAAAATCAATTATTAGGTCTCAAATTCATAATCCTTTATAAGTCTCATCAGAACAGAGCATTTTCTTTTGTAGTTCTCCTGTACATGCCAGCAGTAACAGAAATTCAAGGTTGAAGACAAATTGCTGGTTAGACTGTATCGTAGAGGACAGGAGGCATGGAGGCACAATGAAGTACCCCACGAGGTGTGAGTTCAAATTTCAGGGACTCTGAAGGCTTGAAAAGCAGGCATCAAACTGCTGATGAGAGCAAAGGGAGTTCACTTGCGTTTTCAAAAGCATCGTAAATGGAATCGCACACTGCTGAATGACTGCTTTGGGTTTCCCGTCTTTCCCAAAGATATCTTTCTGAACCCTATTCCACTGTATTTTTCTGAGTTCATGCACAAAGCAAGTCTAATTGTCAAATGCCTTCTTTTATTCATAAAGCAAATTAAGTTCAAATGAAGCAAAAACATAGCAGTATGGTTTGGAGTCCTGTACACTCTGCCTTCCACCACTCCTTTCTGTGAAGGCTGTGGCTTCTGGGCCAACCTATCCAAAGCCTTTGTAAGCGATCAAGCAAGACAATTGTTCTCTCAGAGCTTCTGCAGGTGTTGGGAACATAGATGACTCCCTCCTACGCCCGCAACATGCTGATGTTCAAAGTAAGAGTGGTGGTATGGCTTGCTGCCACATATTGTCCCACTTCAAGCACCAGTTTAATGTCTTCTGCTGTCTCTTCACCAGCTGGCTGACAACAAGGACATCTGTTAGTGGATCAAAATAACTGATGTGATGCTGCAGTATATGTTTTGGATCATTTTCATGAAAGAGAATGATTAGCAGAGAATCTGTCGTGATCGCACACATGGCTTACTGATGCCCATGTTTTAGTCAATAGAACTCAGAAGTTGGACCATAAAGATGCATAACAAACATTTAGACATGCACTTCACTGTACTATGTCAAAAAAAAAATAGAAATTAAGAAGCTCAAATGCATCACAGATAATATCTATTCTTTGCAAAGCAATGAACACCTACCCTGCGGAGTTGGTAAGATAAGCAATACTGATGACCAAAACCAGTTGGGACAATTATCCTTCAAAAGCAAAAAAGACAGAGATGTCTTTACCGCTCGATTACTGTTTCAAGTATCTTAACCCCAATACAGGGTTTGGAATTAAATCTGGCTGATAGCCAACAAAGAAAACTACTGATACTGCCGAGTCAGGGATGTGGTGTTGCCACCTTCACCTTGGAACTTCAATGTCTGGTAACATCCTTTTGCTTCCCTCAGCCTAGATCTCTGGTTCTCATTTCACACATTCATTGTGTAGTACACAAAGCACCTGGAGATCAAATACTTGGCAAATACACGCAAATCTGAGTGAACAAAGTAATGCAGCATTTCGGTAGCTTTACATATCATCATAGCACAGTACAAACATTAGTTCCTACTGATTAGATGTACATTATGGTGATTTTCTTATTAAATAAACCTCCAGGACATTAACTTTTCTTTTGTTGCACACATTACAACACCGGTACATTCACAATTACCTGTTCTGAAGGTGTTTATTAGAAAATGTTCCCTGCTTATTCTTTATATGTAAGCTGTGTTGCACTGCTTAAATGATACTTCGGAAACTGTCCATAATTATTTATTCATATATATCTGTTACTTTGTTTTTCTCTACTCTGGCACTTAAATAGCAACGGTATAGTCTTCAACTTAACAGGTTTTTTAGGCAGTAGGTGATGTGTCTACTGTTCAGACACGAGATCCCACTTTTGGGATTTAGCATGCAATACTGGGAACAAGTCCTGTGTGATAGTCCCAACTTTTGGCATGAATCCATTCCGCGGCCTTTGGCCCTTACTACACTATGGCATGATTCCCTTATTTGTACAACATGGTATAGTATCTCCTGCTTTGCAGAAGTGCACAGCATTTTTTCATTAATATTTCTTTAAACACTTCAAGAATCATGTAGGAAAGACTATGCATTACTGTGCGAGCTATGACTCATAGTTACAGCTAGGAAGGTTATGCAGCGCAGGAACAAGGGCTGCAAAGGTGTCTTTGGAATTCTTTTGATTCACAACCAAACATGGATTCAGGCCAATTTCCTAGCTGCTGGCAGATATATGGGGCTGACAGAACAGCCAGGAAATAATGGGACACACAGAAGTTCCCCAGGTCATGCTGGTGGGTCACGCTCTATGCTGGCAGCAAGAAGGAGAGTGCTTTGCAGACCCTGGGCCCGATTCAGAGACGGGTGGGCCAGGAGACTCCCACTGACCTGAGTTCTGGAGAATTAATGGATTTCTCACCAGGTATATTCAGATGACACATGATTAAGAACCCTAAAGTTAATCCCCGAATAAGAATGGGGACAATATAAGAAACAAAATTTGCAGTTACTTGGACAAGGTCTTTAAAATTATTTGAGTAGAGAAACAAAGTATTAAAAACTGGAAAAACCTCTGTCTTTGTCCTGAAGATCTACTACTGTTTTAGGCCATCCTTAGAAAATTCCAGATTGGGCATCCAAGTCAAGGCATGACACAGTGAAGAAAGAAGACCACAGATCTCAGTGGCCCAGGCACCAACCAACATAAGTTGTGGTCTTGATCTCAGAATCCTACCTTTTAGCTACAGTTTTTTCTGCTTAGTGTCTGCAGAGCTGAAAGAAATGCAAATCAGGAGTGGTAGTAGCTTGATTCCAGGAGTCTGCAGGCAGTTATTTATTTTACTCTTCATGACTTCATTTGGGTGTGCTATTTCTGCAGAAGTCTTTAGCTATTCAATCCTGAGCCTGCCACCCTCTTGCAGTATTTCCTATCTTTTCTAACTACAGCCTAAAATTACTATTTTATTCACTCCTCAGTTTGATGTTCTCCAAGTTTCCATATCCAGTAGGTACTGATAAATTCTTCCCACCCCAACAATAACAGCCGAACTTTCAATAGCAATTGGCTTGTATTTCCAGGTATTTCCAGGCTCCTGTGCACTCCACTGGAAAAAAGTTCCCAAATGACCACTTTGAAAACTGAAGAGAGATGTTTCTCTAGCCCTTATCTGATCCTGGATTTGACCTCCTCATGCAAAACAGAACTCACCATCTAGAAGACATGTCATTTTTGCCCAATTATGCTTTCTCTCTCATGACATCCAAACCAGAAAGACACCAATAATTTTGCTTTCTCTCCCGAAGTAGATGCTCTTGAATTGTATTTTGGTGTGTACTGTACCAGTGCTACAGCATGATTTTATACCTTGATTGCACCTGCAATACAAAATCAATACAAACAGCATCGATTCCTTTCTGAGACTATCATCCTTTCCAATTTTATTTGTTTAGAGGAACCTCTGAATTCTTGCCTCTTGTGCAGGTAGATTCAAACATACTGGATGCTTAACTCAGCTGGGGACTGTCATCACTATTTTAATATGTCAACATTTTCAAACAATTTAATCTACTGATCCCATGCAAAGGCAATACTCCTCTAAAATCCCCAGAAGTGCCTTCCAGTGACTCCAGCTAACTGGATTAGCTATAGCAGAAAGCACATATACTGAAGTAAGAATACACAAATGGTAAGGAAATCTTGCTTTCCTGCCTAGCTTGCAATCCGCTGCACCAGCAAGCGAGATAAGCCCAGGATGAGGGTAGCATTTAACCCAGGAGCTGTGGACCAATGACCTAAGAAGTACTTGGTTGATTACAAGTACTCTAGTTGATTAGAGTGCTCCTTCTTATTATGTCACAAATGAGATAAGCACAATCTGGGAAAAGCTGATGTAACTGCTGCTGCTGTTACCAAGAGAACTATGTTCACCCTGAATGTTCAGCCCCATGTGGTTCACAACTCTCTGTTTCAGGTATAAGCATGATTCTCTGCAAACTAGGTATGGTCCTCAGGCTTCGCTCAATATGTCACTCACATTTTTTCATTGGCCAGATGTCAGTGTTGTTGGACAAACACAGTCAGATGTTATACTCACAACTTCAGCAGATACTTTTCTATCCCTTGTTTTCCAATTTCTCAGGTTCCCACTGCTGAATAAGCAAATAGAAGTTAACATTCTGTCCTTTTTATGAACTTCCCAAGACATTGCTAAAATTTTACCATCCTAGAATTTGACAAACATGTTCCTACAGATAATCTGGGGATTTCCATGTGTACAGTAATAGATTTTGGCTGGTGAAAGGGCAGCCAACTGCCAATAGCCAACCCTCTGACCTTTGGATGGTCTTTTAGCATGGCAATGTCTGTGCAGAATATAAATGGTGTAGATGAGTAGCTAAAAAAAGATCAAGGCCAAGTCAAAGTCATGATTAGACAGCGAGTCCCAAATATCTCCTGATTATAACAGAAAGAGATGTTTTAGTGATAGTTTAATACAGATTAATATATATGTATATATTCATAATCACATACATACATACATATTTCAGCTTTTGTATAATTCTGGCTTTAAAAAATGTAGCTAGCATAAACTTCAATAAAGGCACTGTACCATCAGGGCAGTTCCAGAAATATTAGAAGATAGCATAAGGCAGCACTGTCACAGAGAGACTGCTGCCCTGTCTCACTTCATCTTTCCTTGTGCCAGCCCAAGGCTTTGCACAGCCATGTAGTGAGCAGGAAAGCTGAAAGCTGGCCAGGCTTCTTTTGGGTTAGTCTTAATGCAGACCAGTTCTCTAATCTGGTTCATTGCATGGATGCACAAATGTTTGGCAAGAGAGGGTTTGAGAGATGGGGAAGGAGAATGCAGAGGTTAAACAAGCTGCCAGAGATGGGACTGCCTTTGTGGCCACTGTCCTTCCTTAAAATACTGGACCTGGAATGTGGAATCATTGAGCAACACTGACTTTATGACTGCACTATTATGAGTCGAAGCAAACATGGGTAAATTTACTTCTCCAAGCAGAAGCAACACTTAGGAAGACACTTAAACTGGAGTGAACTGGACAGCTGAAGTGCTGAATAAGAAGAGTTGAGTCTTTCACGCCCAAGTTACTTATTTTACTCAAGCAGAGTTGACCTAACAAGAAGCGCCATGCAACGCCATGATGGTTACTGTTGGCCTGCGTGAGCTGACTTTGCTTTTTGCTGTAGTTCCAACATTATGCAAGCTACATTTCCTGTGTATAATCACTTGAGAGACTAATTAAATAACAGGATTTTAATTATTGAAGACTTAGAAAGGGAATGTCACCTTCTTAGTAGGATGAATGCTCACAACGTTAACACGCCACATTGCCAATAATAAACCTTGATTTAATTTCTGAGCTAAAATTTACTAAGGTTCTGACGAAGTGAGTGCTTTGGAGAGGCCATCCCTGAAAAATCAGAGAACAGAGTTCAGAAGTTATGAAAAGATAAATATTCAGCCTTTCTTTTTATGGGAAGGTTATAATGAATGTAAACTTGAGAAGTGTTTTTAACAGTAAAATCCCATTTCTTTAGCATCCTACATACTATTGCCTTGATTCCTCTGTTACTTGTCTTGGTGAAAATCAAGGAAGGAGAATAATACCAACGTATACCAATGAGCACAGAAACATTTTTTAATGCAAATCAATACCGTTTGGGGCATCATAATTTAAGCCCAGGTTAGCAATCCATGTAGGCAAGTGATAGGATCCTACAGGAAAAGAGCCACGGACTTCCTGGCTGAAGACCACAAAATTTCCAGGAAGCCATTCCATCATTTAACCATTCTATTTCCTATCTGGAAAAAAATGTACTCATGTTAAGTCCTGCAACAATGAAGTAGCTACATCCAGCTGATGGCATTGAGAATGTAAAATATATGGTAAACAATGACAAAACTTTTAAGTGTTGATGAATCGCTAGAGACTTGACTGAGGTCATGCAGGGTATTAGTCACAGAGAGCTGAAACGCATCCTGCAGTTACTGATCAGCAGTCTAACCACTTGAACCATCTTTCCTCTCTGCCCTAAAATGAATGTCTCTGACTAGAATGCATTCAACTATTGATATAATGCCCGTGACTTCATGCTCATGACTATGAAAAGTCTTCTGCATTGACTTAGGAGTAAGTACCTCCTCCGATCTCTGTGGCTAACAATAGATGACAGAAGTTGCTTTATGAAATTTAGTTTCTGATATCTTGGCTGTAGAATAGGATGGACATGTCCTTCTTTCCTAGCTGCACTGTGGTGCAGATACATTGGAAGAGAGGAGAGGGATAAATGGGCTTATGCCCCCTATGCCAAACCCCAGCACTTCTTTTTGGAAATGCCCACTCTCCTTGGTCACGATAGTCAGGGCTGAATAGGTTCCCTCTTCTGCTTCAAGTGGCATCTGCCTCTAAGTACTTCTAGCAAAACTGCATACAGATTTTTTGAGGTTCATTCATGGGGTGCTTTATGTAGTTTTGCTTTCTATCACCACTCCTTTTTACACTGCCATGATGTGTTACAGGTTAAAACTGATTGAATTTTAAGAATTGTTGGACAGTAAAACTAACCCAAGTGTGTCCTCTTGAGGTTCCTTAAGCAACACGTATCAAGTGATTTAATTAACCTTGCAGGCAGCCTGTCTGTGCTGCAGAGGTGGAGCAACTCAGTCTCTGTTGGGTTACAGGCTCAGACACTGCGTGGCCTAAATGCAGCAGTGTTATTTCTAAGGCCTTGGAAGTTCTCGTCTTGAAACAGTATGTTTGATTTTGTGTGGCACAGAAGCAAAGTTAATAAAACTTATCAAACCTAAAGCAGCTCCATATAGAAGCAGCTCCAGTCTCCTGGCTGGACTACTACTTGTAGAGATGTCAAGGTCTCTACTACTTGTAGAGATGTCAAGGTAAGCCGCCAAGGTACTCTTCAGCGTGTCCTGTAGCACACATATTACTTGGGATTACCCTGGATAATGAGGACTTGAGTGTACTTAGTCTTCCTATCAGTACATTTTGCTTCCATTTGAACAAGTCAGGTATGTACTAAGTGAAATACTCGACCGGCGTCTGCAAAGTTTTACGGCCAGTTTTTGCCATCGGTGGCAATGAAGGCTCTTAACTGTCTCTGGGACATGTATCAGTAAATGTATTCGGAGAAATGCCTGGGAGACAGTATGCTGAACTCGACAGTGAAAGACTCTGACGGAGCCAACACCAGCCACCGCCACAATACTGCGCATCACTTTCCCACATGGATGACGATTCCTAGGGAAGAGCACCACCACTCAGCACCCCTGACGAGAAGAGGCAGTGAGTTGCACGTAGTACAATGAATCAAGCCATGCTATCTTACCTGTTTCAGAAAAACACGAACTGGGCTCTTTTCCTTCTAAATAAATGACATAAATGTTACATAAATACTGTAAAAGTGAGAGGAACCATCGACTTCGGTTGGTTTCATCTACCTAAAGCAAAACGCACAGCCACAGGACAAGCCAGTCATCCCCCCTCAAGTTAGCAGTCTCTAAACGCTGCCCGTTCTGTCAGTCTTCATTCTCTTTTAGAAACTCGGAGGCCTTTATCCGGCGGGCAGGCTGTCGGCTGGGCGGGCTCCTGGCGGGCTCCGCCGGCACCGCGAGGAGAGGAAGATGTCAGGCGAGATGGTGTTGTTAC